TCCACTGGGGAGAGACATTGTGTAGAGAGAGAACTCCCCCGGGGGGAGAGAAGTTTGACCTGGGACAGTAATCACAGAAGTTTTTAGGATACTATATAAAGGGGCCAGTCTAAGGGAGAATGAATAACTCATCAATTCAACAAATGGTTGTTGAGCACCTACTGTGTGCCAGGCACACACGGCACACAGTGATGAGCAAGACATGTCAAGTCCCTATCCTCATGGAGCTGGCTTTCTAGTAGGGGTGGCAGACAAATTAATACAAATATAAATTGATACCAGTCAATGATGAGGGTCATGAAGAAAAACAAAGCTGTGTGAGTGGGTAGAGCAGTGGTTCTCAACCTTCTGGCCCTTTAAATACAGTTGCTCATGTTGTGACCCAACCATAAAATTATTTTCGTTGCTACTTCATAACTGTAATGTTGCCACTGTTATGAATCGTAATATAAACATCTGATATGCAGGATGGTCTTAGGCGACCCCTGTGAAAGGGTCGTTTGACCGCCAAAGGGGTCGCGGCCCACAGGTTGAGAACCACTGGGCTAGAGAGTGTCAGCGTCACAGGCCATGCATGGTTCCAGGAAGACCTTTCTGAGGAAGGATCTTTGAGCAGAAATGAGGGAGTGAACAGTACAGATCTGTGGGGACAAGCATTCCAGCGGAGGGAAGAAGCAAGGCAGAGGCTCTGGGGTGGGAGAGTGTGATGTATCTGAAGAGCCCCGTGCCCAGTGGGTAAGGGAGAGGGTAGATTGAAGGGGCAGGTTGATAGAACCTTGTAAGCCACAAGGACTGCCCTTCAGCCTGGCTCCGATGGCGCCCAGGAGGTCTCTGAGAGAGGAGGGCTGTGACCTTAGCAGGTGTGCACAGGCTCCCTCTGGCTGCATGTGGGACAGGCTGTGGGGACAGGACTGGAGCAGGGAATGGGGGCAGGGCGGCTGCTTCAATAGTCCTGGTAGGAGATGAGATGGACAGGAGCAGCTGGAGGCAGCAGACAGGGTAAGGTGAGATCAGGCTCTGAATGATTTTGGAGGATGAGCCAACAGGATTTTGGAATTCTGGGAAGAATTCTGAATCCTGACACCTTTGAAAGTTGGTTCTCCTGGGGCTGGGGGAGGTTGGGTAACAGCCGCCCAGCCTGACCTGCTGCCCTCCTGCCCCTCAGTCTGTGCTGACAACAACCACGTGCGGACATGGTCTGTGACTCGCTTCCGTGGCATGATTTCCACCCAGCCGGGCTCCACCCCACTTGCTTCCTTCAAGATCCTGGCCCTGGAGTCGGCCGATGGGCATGGCGGCTGCAGTGCTGGCAATGACATTGGTGCTTCCTAGCCCCTGGCCTCCCACCCACAGTCCCCATTGGCCTCCACTGACCCCTTATCTGACCCCTGTTGAGCTCCCTTTACTCCCAGCTCCTCCTGTTTAATTCTGTTGCCCCCACTGATTCCTGCTGACTGCCACCTGACCTGGGATCACCCCCGTCCCTGATGTGCCTCAACCCTGTTGATTGTTGCTGATCCCCAGCCCTCTCTGACCCTACCCAACTTCAGCAATCTAGGGATGGGGATCTAGTCTTGGGCTGGGGCAGAGCCTTGGGGCCTGGAGGTCTCAGGGACCCAGCAAGCCTGATTCTCACCCCTGTCTGGCCCAGGCCCCTACGGTGAGCGGGATGACCAGCAAGTGTTCATTCAGAAGGTGGTGCCAAGCGCCAGCCAGCTTTTCGTGCGTCTTTCATCCACGGGTCAGCGGTGAGGATCATCCGTCAAGTGGACAGGGTGGTTAAAGGAAAGACAGAGACAGCTGGGCTATGGAGGCCAAGAGGATCCCAGCCGAGCGGCCTTTAGGGAGCAAGGGGCAGGGGAGGAGCATGGGGCCTTGGTCCATGTTTTGGGGGTCTGGGACGTACCGAAAGTATCAAAGGTGTGGACACATATGGGGTGGGAAGTGAAGGGTGGAGAAGCTGGGTGCCTGTGGTGGCCCTTCAGATGGGAGACTGGCTCAGTGTGGGCCGGGGTGGGGACAGGGGCCGGGGGCGGGGAGGGGGGCAGGGAGCCTGTAAAAGGAGCTGTTGGCTCCACCCCTGGGAAGGAGGCCCCTGGGAAGGTTTTTCTTGAAGAGGAGACTTGTTCAAGGAATGGCTTCAGTAAGGGTTGCCCAGTGAAGTGCCCATGGCCTGGGGGCCCAGAA